CAGAGTCCACTGGCTTCATTGCCACTCTGTCCCCTTGTCCTCATCTTATATTTTTCCTTCTTTTCACCCATCCTTCCTACCTACTCAGAACTTTTCTAGTTTATAATTATTCCATTTCTCCTTTCATAAGAGTTACACTTTACATTTGGGCTTTGGACTGAAGTTTTCAATTCATGTACCCTTCTTCTCAAAGAAAGCAAATGTTAAAACCCAACCTGGAATTTTATCACAAAGATCTGGCCTAAACTTTAGAGCTGAATGTCTGGCTCTCTTGTTATACACTCCAGTTGCACATTCAGAGTGAAGTTACTTTTGAGTTCTCACCTCCCTCCATGTCGTAGATTCCTGCCCACTACTGGAGGGAAATTGCTGACTCTTAATTGAAACTAAAATAGAAAACGTATGGAATCATAACATACTGATTTATTGACATTTTGACAAACCTCACTATGGCACAAATAACAAGTGGCTAAAATGTTTGCCTGAATTAAATAATTGAATCCCATATTCCATTTGTTTGTATTTTCATTTTCTTTTTATTTGAGAGAGAGATTGATCTCCCATTCCTGATTTACTCCCCAAATGACCTTCATACCCAAGAAGCCAGGAGCCTGGAACTCCATCTGGATCTCCTCTGTGTGTGACATGGTCCCAAATACTTGAGTCATCCTATGCTGCCTCTCAGGGTACATATTAGCAGGAAGCTAGATCAGAAGCAGAGCTGCTGGGACTAGCACCAGGCAATCCAGTATGGGATGTGGGTGTCCCAAGTAACATCCTAAGCCATTGCACCAAATGCCTGCACCTCCAAATATACAGTCCATAATATTGCGCCACTTCTCTCTCCATGAGATGCAATACTGCATTTGGAAAACCTCACAGTAATAATCAACTTAAAATAGATTAAATTTACTAGTAAAATGAATCTCCAAATAAAAAAGTAGGCTTTATTCAAATTCATATGTGAACCAGTTTGTATTCCTAATTTATTTTAACAAAAATGGATGGCAACATAACAATGATAAGTGTGTCCTTCAAAGGGCAATTCCACTGTCATCTTTCACGTGACACCTGTACCCAGATTCCGTTTTACTTGAATCTAACCGAAGTCCAGCACCTTTTCTTCTTTTGACTTTAGGAGCTGCTTTGACTGATGTTAAACAGATTTTAAATAAAATCTTTGGAACTCAGCATGATGTGTTCCAGATTCCTCCATTTTGTTGCAAATGACTGGATTTCATTGTTTCTTACTGCAGTATAGTATTCTAAAGAGTACATATCTGGAACACATCATGCTGAGTAAAATAATCCAGTCCCAAAGGGACAAATACCATATGTTCTCCCTGATCGGTGACAACTGACTGAACTCCAAAAAGGAAACCTGTTGAAGTGAAATGGACACTATGGGAAATGGTGACTTGATCAGCATAGCCCTGACTGTTAATGAACAACTTAATACATTATCCCTCTTAGTAGTTTTTTTGTCTGTTCTACTTAATATGACTGGTTTAATTCTGTAATTAATACACAGTTATTCTTAAGTGTTGAATATTAACTGAAATGTGATCCCTGTTAAACATAAGAGTGGGAATAAGAGAGGGAAGAGATGTATAATTTGGGACATGCTCAAACTGACTTGCCCCAAATGGTAGTTAGAAACATAGCAGGGGATTCCAATTCAATCCCATCAAGGTGGCATGTACCAATGCCATCTCACTATTCCAAGTGATCAATTTCAGTTCACAATTGATCATAATGAAAGGACTAAGAGTCAAAGAGAGCACATAAACAAGTCTAGTACCTGCTAACACTAACCGATAGAATAAAGGGGAGAGTGATCCAACATGGGAAGTGAGATACTCAGCAGACTCATAGAATGGCAGATGTCCTAAATAGCACTCTGGCCTCAGAATCAACCCTAAAGGCATTCAGATCTGGCTGAAAAGCCCATGAGAGTATTTCAGGCATGGAAAGCCAAGACACTCTGGCAAAAGATCTCTGTGAGTGAGATCCCAGTGGAAAGAACAGGTCTTCAAAGAAGGAGGTACCTTTCTCTGAAGGGAGGAGAGAACCTCCACTTTGACTATGACCTTGTCTAAACAAGATAAGAAACGGAGAACTCAGAGGGCTTCCATAGCCTTGGAAACTCATGACCGGAGCATAGGGAGACTACTGATGGCATAGACAGGAGTGTCAATTGGTAAAGTCAACAACAGGAGTCACTGTGCACTTACTCCTCATGTAGGATCTCTGTCCTTAATGTGCTGTGTATTGAGATTTAATGCTATAACGAGTACTCAAACAATATATTTCACTTTGTGTTTCTATGGGGGTGCAAACTGTCGAAATCTTAATGCATACTAAACTGATCTTCTGTAAAAAAAAAAAGAAATTATCAATTCCCAACTTGACTCTCACTGGGATTAAACATGACAATAGGTCTGATCTGATTTCATCATCATTTAAAAAAAATCATCTATTATTTTTCACTTTATGTTTCTGTGTGGGAGCAAACTGTTGAAATCCTTACTTAATGTATACTAAGCTGATCTTCTGTATATTAAGAGAATTGAAAATGAATCTTGATGTGAATGGAAGGGGAGAGGGTGTGGGAAAGGGGAGGGTTGTGGGTGGGAGGGACGTTATGGGGGGGAAGCCATTGTAATCCATAAGTCGCACTTTGGAAATTTATATTCATTAAATAAAAGTTTAAAGAAATGAAAAAAAATCTTTGGAACTGTTACATTGAGCAAGCTCCCCAAAGGGAAAATTCACATTCAACAAGAAATTAACACCATTACCTGTATTTTATCATTGACTGATCATCTGTATAATCAGAAATCCTCCAGGCTTACACAATGAATGTTTGCTCTGCAGTGAACAGTTTTAATATTGTGTAAGCATAATCCTCTGACAAGCCATGCTTGAAACTACAGACAGACATGAAAATTATTGCATTTGTAAGAATTTCTTCTTCCCCAGGGAAGATGCACTTTACCAGGGAATGTTTAACTCAAATTGGAAAAAGCAATTAGGATCTATTCCCACCTTTGAGGAGAGTCCCTTTCCTCCTCTCCCTCTGTAGAAGGAACTATTGGTTCCCAAGTAAGCACCAGGGAGAGTTCCTAACTTTGCTTCCTAAGTTTTGCCCTCCCGTCCTTGCCTTTCTTTGGGATACTCATGCACTGGGTGAGAATCTGACCTCTCTTAAGCCTGGTTTTAGGATGCTTGGGAAAATGGTGCCTTGCTTGCCTCTCATGCCCCTGCTCAACAGAGCGTGTTCTTGTCTGGGTGCAGCCTCCCTGTGCTCAGCCCCCCAGCACCTGGCCTGGCCCTGCCTGGGGGGCCTACCCTGTTCCAGCCCCACTTGTGTTCCATTGGGCTAGTGTGCCCAGTAGGAGGCCTGTCACATCATGTGACTGTCCTCTGGCAGAGAAGTTACCATTTGTCATCTCTTGCATATTTCTACCTTACCTTATCTTCTCTTCCTGAAAGTGTATGTCAGTAATAAATTGGAAATTGGAATCTACAGTTTGCTTCTTTGTTTCTCTGCCACTGACTTGAATCTCTAGCTCATGCTTCAGACTTGATTGACTCTCCTCCTCCCCTGAGTTAAGGTATTACAAACAGTTTTGACAGAGAAGGTCCAGGGACCCTGAATGCACATGTACATTCCTAAACACACCTTGCCATCAGTGTAAACTTGTTCTGAAGAATATACCATAAATTTTTACTTTAAAAAATTACTTTTAGTAAAGTTTAGCCATCATGTCCAT